ACCAGCTCATAACAAAACCATCCCTCACTACTCATCCCCCTCTCATCGAGCTTCATGTTTCACTGCATGTTTACCATTTACTTCACTAACGTGTCTCTCCTCGCTCTCCATACACTAGGATGCCGTCAGCTCATTGCTGCAGCATTCCCAATGCCCAGGACAGCGCCTGCAACACAACGGGCAGTCAGCTACGTTGAATGAATGAATCACTTTCACCAACCCACGTCCAGGATACCTCTACTGTGTAATAGATGGCTTCACAAGTGTTTGAAACGAGTTTGCTTAGATGTGTGGTCCGTTGGGGTAAAGGTCCTTGATGGTTTCCCAAAGGGCTTGTCTGTGGCAGAGAACACGGAGGTCTTTTATTGTAAGTAAACAAGCAGCCTGGCCAGTGGCTGTTTTTCATGGAGGCTCTGATCACGCTGTTTCCCGGGCTGGCTTTCCTTCTCATTCCTAATGCATCTCCTCAACTCTACACAGCAGCAGCTTAGCAGACAAGGATTTGACGGTCAAAACCCAACGACCATTCATGAAGGGCTCAGAAGGGTGTGATGTGTGAGAGATTCGTCACTCTGCAAGGTCACAAGTCTGCATGGGCAGGCTGGTGCGCTGCAGGCTGTGCCCCACAAAACAAAGGGCCTCTGTGGCCAGCCAGCCCACCATTCTCCTGGAAGGCGAACAGAGGTCTGTCTTTGTGAAAGATGGCCTTCACAGGAAGGCAACTGTGCATGCTGGCAATGGACGCACAAGGCTCAAATGTCTCTGTTTAATTTGTTTCCTAAAGTGCCATTTAGTATCACTCACCAACCTGGGGAGTCGCTTGGGTTTTCTGTGATCAAGGCTGCTTGTGTCTGTATTCACTGGCTCGTGCACAGCTGGGAACTTAGGCAAGTCCAAGACAGGGACAGGGAAGAGGCTTGTCTTCATGCAAGAACACAGCCTCTCTGCCATGTTGCATGGTATCACCAGGTGTGTTCATGGCAAGTAAACAAGTGATTTAGACTATTTTGTGAGCCGTGGAATCAGGTGGCCCATGTTCAAATCTCAGCTCCACCTCTTTCCAGATCTGTTATTTCCTAGGGGTGACAATAAGCCCCAGCTTCCTTGATCACCAAATTGTTTAGAAGGGAGAGTTCTATAAATAACATGACATGATGTAAGGGCGGGAAAGAGAATCATGCCCATAGCACAGACACCCCACACACAGGTGGCAAGAAAGAGAAGTATTAGCCCTGGATCTACTGGCAACTACTTGCTAAATGCCATCATAGGTGTGTTAATGCGGAGAAGGGGCCCAGGCGCGGAAGACAGCATCATGATGATGAAGTTAATGCGGAGAAGGGGCCCAGGCGCGGAAGACAGCATAGTGAAAGGATCCACAGGATGGGAGCCAGAGGAGAATTCGATTAGCAAGACAAGTGGATAGCTCACAGTATATAAAACACGAGGCTGTGGCCTGATCACAGCTGTCTTTACGGCCTATGGTCCAGCTACTCTGAATTGGTTGGGTCTCAACAAGGGGCAATGAAGCAAAAGTTTAGCCATCTGTTTTACTCATTATAATAGTATGTAGGATAGGGTTCTCTCTTATTTGTAACCCCAGATGTCCTGGTCTGCTGACCAGGCTATCTTAGAATTTAGCAATCCCTCAGCCTCTGCCTCCTGATTGCAGACATTCACCATCATCCTCTTTCTTAAAATGGCTGAGACATACATAGGTTTTGGTACTTCAGATTCTATGGGAGTACATCATGGGATTATGTCATCGTATCTAGCATTTCAAGAAGCCTCTTTGCTCTAGAATCCCAGGTCTTGTGATTTATCCAAATAGACATGCAGTTAAGACCATACAGCCTTAGATTACACATGTTAGCACCTAGCCACTCCAGCTGACTTGGAAGAGAATGCCCAGATGGGCCAGGTGTTAGTATTCAGGCATCTGTACTGGCCTACTCTAGCGGTTCTGACAAGATATGTCAGCTGCAGCTATTAAGAGCACCACCTGTGCACATTCACAATGTTCCCCTAAAAGGGCCCGCCCACCTCCCATCTCTCTTTCTCCCTCCCTCCTTCCTTCCTTCCTTTCTGCATCTCTGCCTGTCTCTGTCTCTCTCCCTCTCCTCTCTTCTGCCTCTCCTGTCCCCAGAGGCAGGTCTCTCCTCTCCTCTGTCTGCCCCCTTTCCCATTCACTTTCCTCAATAAAAAACAAACAAACAAAAAAAACACAAAAAAACAAAACAAAACAAAGCAAAAACCCTTTCACCCAAGATCTGTCTTTCTCTTGTGCGCGCCACTTTTAAAAATAACACCACTAGGTGATGGAAAAATGGCTTAAAATGTTCTGTAACAAGAACAGAGTCAATGTTAGTATTAAGTTGAACCTGATTTCCTAAATCTTTGACTAATCTTCATTTTTTTTCTTTTAAGATTTTTATTCCCAAAGGAACTATTTTAAGTAAAAAAAAAAATTGTCTAAACAGTTGGGCAAATATGCTATCTGATCTAACCTGATCTACACTAACACCGAATGAAAGGGCACACTGCTTCCAAAGAACTCAGCTCCCCAGAGAAAAGCTCTACCCATCCACAGGCCTGTGCTGATGATGTTAGTCAGTACTGACACTGAGCAAGCTGCTCCATTGAGTCCTAAGTTCATACTGTAAGACATAGAAGAGCAACTCAAGGGGGCCACTATTAACTTGGCAAGTCAAAAAAGAATTCTGAGTTGCCTTCCTCTTCCTTCCCAGCTAGACCTATGAGACAACTTCCTAAATACATTGGCACTCAGCTGTTAGAAAGCTGGAGGATCCTATAAGGACACAAGTGAACCTTGGCTACACAATGCAAAGATTGAAGCTATTTAAATTTCACATGTATCTATTTTGTCCTTCCACAGATAGTCACATGCAATGTGACTTTATATGGCTATGGAGGAAAATGTAATATAACATTTGATCTCTTTCAATGTGGTGTTGTACACAAAATATACTTTTAATTTGATTATAATAAAAAAAATAAAAAAGGAAGCTGGGGGCTGGGGGATCTGCACGAAATGGATAAAGGAGGAACTGGATGCCTCCCCTCTGTATCAGTTCAGTGGGTTTGAGAGCGGCAGGAATCAGGTCCGCAGGATTCAGACACTGCAACACATGCTTGTCATCGAAGAAGCTCAAGTCCAAGGGTTGTCCAGGAAAGTTGCAAAAATATCTCATAGTCTTGAGTATGTTATGATTTTGTTCTGGGACACACATTCACAGCCATCCTGGGCATGTGAGTCCTGTAGGGTGCAGGTTAGACCCTACACCTGCTAGCTCAAGGTCATATGGTGCTCATCACCTAATGCTGGAATCAATCATCATTTCCCTTGTTTGTGTGGAGGGCAACTGTGAAGTGGTGGTCTTGGCCAACAGACTCCCAACGCCATAAATTCTAAGGAGGCCCACAGCCCAAGGCAAGGATGGGTTGACCAACTGTCCAAGGTCATATGGGGGGATGGGGACCCTGGTGACCCAGGCCTCTGGCTCCAAAGTGTCATTCTTCTGATGTGCTGGCTCAGCTTACATAGATGTCTGCCAACCCAGCAACTATGAGGGCCCGAGAGTCATTTCCTGAAGTGAATGATAAGCGTGAGGTACTGGGAAGACACAAGCACTTCACCCTGAGACCAATTCGAGTGGACTAGCAATCACAGAGCAATCGAGCATCTCTCTTGAATGGCTCAAGCCCTCTTGAGGGTAAATTCACAGGGGCAGTTAGTCTTGTCTTTGATACGTGACTCAAATACTTTAACAGTGAGGACTGACCGTCATCCTCTCCAGCAGAAAAGGAGCAAAGCAGATTCTAGATGTTTCTTCTGCATTTTTATGTCATGGCCAAAGAATGCTAGGATTCTTATCCACCCAGATTCGGGGAGTTTGGAAGGCCTAGAGAATGTTAAAAAGCAGAGTTAAAATGAATGGCTTCAGCCAGAGCCCAGGATGAGTGTCAGCAGTAGCATATTTGCTTCTGTGATTTCAGGAGAGGCCTCGCTAACAACACACAAATGTGAAGGATGGACTCTTCCTCGGAGGCTTCCTGTGAGTACCATCAGATGCAGCTCTCAGAGAGAGCGGCCAGTCATTTCCTCCCTTCCCTTGCAGGCCTTAAGAAAGGCAGGCTGGGCAGGCTGGGGTGGCAAGGGACGACAGTCCCCAAAGGAGCAAGTGTAATCTCCGTGTGCTGGGACTGTAGTGTGGCTTGGGTAAGTCTGAGTGTGCCCCTTTCCAGTAACTAGTGGAAACAGTTTATAAGGATTTTACTTCAACACCTGTACGTCTGGTGTTGGACCCAAGTTAAACTGTCGTCTCAAAGATCTCTGTTTACTGATGATACTCAGTGAGACCCCCTGAATGGCATATGGCTTGAAGTTAATCCAACTAGAGTTCCATGGACAATCCAAGTGGCAAGCACCGTTGAAAACGGAGGACGGAAAGCATGTGTTAGTGAATACTTCTTTGATGGAGAAGAAAACACATCCTATTGCAGTTGAGAATGAAGCAACCTTTGTTTGTGTTTTGAAAGATAAATGCACCCGATCTGAACCGCTCACAACATTCTAAAGTAAACAATACCCAACATTTCTCGTCTAAAAATAAGTAATACCCCGTTTGACAACGCGTGCGGCATTACAGGCTCCGGTCTTGTTAGGAATAAATGTAAGAAAGACCACAGCAGTACCAGGGAATTCTGGGAGATTCTACTCACTGCACTGTTCTAGCCAATGTGCTCTCTCTTGCAGATGTCTCCCAATTCTGGGTGTGAACTGTGCCTTCACATACAACCGCCTAGAAAACCATGCATGGCTGCTCAACCAGCCTCACTGCACCGTGGCTGCAGCCCAGGAACAACTCACTGCCTGCAATTCAAACAGAAGACCAGGCTCTAGGGCACACACACACACACCCGTGTTACCCATAATTACAGATCAGAATGTCAAGTTCTAGAAATAAAGACAAACGGCGGCCTGAAGGGCATGATAGTTTATTTAAAAAACAAAGAAAACAAAACACCAACAACAAAGACAAAAGGAAATGGTGCCACACTGATCACGTGACCAGTACACACACGCAATGGCTTTTCTCTTGGGTATTAACATTGCAGTATTTGTAGATACTGAAAATGTTTCAATAGGACCAAGAACGTTAGGAAAGAAGGATCTTGGGTGAAAATGGACACTAGTAACTGTGGTGCTTTCACACAGAGAACTCATTTAAAGTCCCGTGAATCAGTGGCATTATGCTATGTGGTTAGAAGGACAAACGTCCCCTTAGGAGGAGGCAGCATGAGCTTTAACTTCTTTGTACTTTAGTCTTAGTTTTTATAATTTAAGCTATGTGCACCCTGGCTAAAGCACAGCCGTACAAGACACCTCAGGTAATTCCCTTGTTACTATTGCACAAGTTTAGTAATTTTACTTAATTAAAAAAAATCAAACCACCATCAAAACAAAAAGGCAGATAAATGTGACTTTCAAATCCTCTAAAAGCAGAGAGCTTGCTTATTCGATACCAACTCAAACTTAAATGTTATCATTATAACCTCCAAACTTCTGCAATAAAACTAATTTTTAAATATATATGGGCTTTCTTTATCCAACCATACTTTGCAATCAACAAGAGGAAGTTGCTTTTTAAGAGAATGCGACTTTCGGTGACAGTTCTGCGTGACATGATGCCAAGTCGGGCTCTAGGTTCTGAAGTATAAGAATTTGACCAGACATCAAAATTATCATAATCTATTCTTAAAAATCGAACCCATATGTGATTGCTTCATAGAGAGTAAATGTGCTGTTGAGTTTGTATCCCAGGAACCTTTTGCTTTTGACCTTTCTGCAATCTGACCCTTTCATGTAACCGTGGCTCACCCCCTTTGAGATTGGCCTCTGTATTCCCAATACGTCTGGGGTGGCATAAGTGTAGTTCAAAGGGACAGCAGATACAGGTGCGTTTACATCTGTAAACTCAAGAGTCACATTGTGTAGCTCAGCAACTATAAAAACATTGAGATTTGGGCATTTCAAGCCAGAATCTCTTTGTGCTTTTTAAACAAAGCTGCTTCTGAACCTTTTATTTGGTATTTATAGTCCCTTATAACAATAAAAGGCTATCTTTAAAATAATTTTTAAGGTTAAATGTTCTGAGGGGGGATTTATCAATATTTAGCTTTTAAAAACACAGTATAAATCAGTATTTTATTATTTATTTATTTATTTATTTATTTTTTGTCTTCAGTACTGGAATAGAAGAAATTATTTCTGGTCCCTCCTTAAATCAACCAACACTTCTCATCGCATAGAACACTGAAATTTACAGACATCCCTGAAATTTTTTTTGATTACGTAAACGAGTGAATCACAGTGGAGTCTCATTCAGTTAACAGTGTAGATCCATTTAAAAACAAAACCAAAAGCTGAACATTAAAAGAAAATTTCAAGCTAAAAAAAGAAGACAGACGGAAGCCCTCCCAAGAACTAAGAGCAAGTGTGTTGTCTGTCACTCGCTGTTTCTATTCTTTACCCCCAACTGATTCGATTCTTCCTTCTCCATGTGCTAAGCACATCTGCTGAGATCCTCACTCACGCCCAGTCTGCAGGACCCTTGAGTTGAGAGGCCATGCTAGGACCGGTGTGATGGGAATGTGGTGCACTGCCTTCTCCCCCTACGAGAGACTTCATATCCAGAGACAGCACGCAGTCTCCCTCCGCTGTAGCTGCCAGCATCTCGCCAGGCGACGCTCCCCGTGCAAAGTGATGCCACTGATTCTTCCACCCCAAGGCGTGAGCTTTTCGTTGTTTGCCACCAATGCACCGGCCTCTCACTATTTCCTCAGGAAAGTGGGGGCTTAAACAGCGGTGGGACAGAAATAAAAACAACCAGTCTGAAGGCACGAAGTCGCATAGCTGCTCTAGGTGGAGTTTGTAAACAGAGAATAGGCTGACTCTAGGTAATCTCGATCTATGAGAATAAAAAGGCATCCAGAGCAGGCTTTCATCCAGCCAGCTTCTTTGAGATTCTTCATGGGTTCTGAGGTCTACAAAGTACACACTAATATACCCATACTTCAAATAGCAGTAAGGCAAATAGTATAATCATTATCCAAAAGTTACAATGGTAGTGTAGGCATACATAGTATAACTTAGTTACAGAGTGTGGTACTGTTTCTGCTACATAACCATATTAACTGTTTCTTTCCTACATAATTATATACCCGGCTGGGCTTCAGTTGAGCACAAAGCCACCCTTGTGCCACCGCCTATAGGTGGCAGTAGCTCTCTGAAAGCAGTTTTTATTCTGCTGTAGAAATTGGCCTTGGGCTGAAAACAAGTGCGCAGTCCACATGTCCAGCCGTTAGACACTGTCGTATTTGTGAAGAGCTTCTTCCAACTTCTGGGTCACTTTTTGGAAAAATATTATTTGCTGTTGTAGAAAATGCTGCATCTGCGATTTGAAGTCTCTCACTCGAATCTGGTGGAAGTGGTGGATCTCGGCCAGCGTGGCGAAAGAGATGGTATTACAGCGGTCTTGGATGCCGTCGGCTTTTTGGACTTCCATTTTCCCTTCTTCCACGTGTCGCCGACTCTCCTTTACTTTGGTAAGAGCTCCTGCGGTCAAAGAGAATAGTGATTAAAACACAAAGACACACACACATACACACCGGTGACACAGCTAAGTGTGCATGTTGGTACCAACTCAAGCTGCCGCTGGAAATCCAGCCACAGTGGGGGAGGGGCTGGCAAGTGTTGCCAGCGTACACCGAGGCAGTCAGGGTACCCAAGCCCATGCCGGGTCACCCGGAGACTGTGCCTGACAACACAGGGTGATGTACGCATGTGTGCCTTGGTCTGACAGCACCTCCTTCCGGGAGACCACACCAGGGACACCGGCATCTCTGATGGTTAGAATGTGGCGCCTTCTCGGGATGTCAGGGGCAGAGGGTTTTACGTTTGCTCTGTTCAGAAGGTCGTCAAGAGTACAACAGCTTTTTATCTAGAAACATGTCCAGAGTGCTGCAGGATGGGGTCTGGGATCAGGCATTGTGGCAGGTGCCGTACAGAAGGCTGGAGAGGCAGGAAACGATGGTAGCCACTGGTTCCCAGGGCTAAACACATTCTAGTGGCTTAACGGAGATGTTCAAAGGCATCTAGAACACAGGCTGCTAAAGCACCCTAAAAGGTAGACTACGGAGCATAGAAGCCAGCAGCCTGGGAGGGATGTGGACCCCAGGCAGATATACTCTACCACTGAGCTCGGGCGCCCCCTCCCCTGGTTTAGCACTATAAAGGTGGGAAATGAAAAACTATCAACAGCAAATTATGCAGAGACGTGCATGTCTGTGGAGGAATGTACATACCCACCACTTTCATGAAAGGAGATCTTTCACTGAGGTGAGCAGAGTCCCAGGGCAGCCGGGCATCACACAGCAGGGCACACATCCGTGCCTGCATCCTTTGCCCTACCGTGGGCATCATTCCACCCCTGCTACTGAGAAGGCCGCTCGCTCGGTGGGCAGAGGCAGCTAGGTCCCAGACCTTCACATTTCTCCTAGCCCGGCAGTACCAGGAAAGTATATACATTGTCTGCTCCGTATTATTTTTTGATGTCTTTTGAGACAGGGTCTTCACTGTAAACTCCTAGCTGGCTTGGAACTTCCTTTTTGTAGATTGGGGGAGGGGCAAGCGTGAACTCACAGAGATAAGTCTGCCTCTGCCTCCTGAGTGCTGGAATTAAACATATAATAAAAAGGTTGCACCCACCCTCATGCCTTTTGTAATGCAGTGTCTTTGTTATCTGTGTACAGGCTTCCCATTTACGTACAGAAATAAAAGATGCAAAGAAAAAATATATTTCAAGGTCTTGGTGATTTGACTGTTTTTTTCATTTAACCTCAATCCAAGGCAGCTGCAGTCCAGGATTCCAACACAAGCAGCAAGCCACACACTGAGCCACAAGCGCTTCCCGGTCTGTGCGCACACGGCTCGCTCAGGTACTCATGCAATGTACAACAGCTGCTGTCTCACCGGAATGTTCCTCTGGCTGAGACACAGCCCAGGAGGGCACGGATGTCCCCTTGGCTGAAGGAACTTCGCAGGCCTGCAAATGCGCGTGTGTGTGTCTGCTCCTGGGAAGATCCACGTCTTCTCTCACATGCGACTCTAGGAGGTAGCAGGGTCGCTGTGCTTCCAGCCAGCCGTGCAAGGCTTTATTTAATGCATCTGAGGAATACTGATGAGAGCCTAACGCTTAACGTGGTAGCCTGGTACAACATGCAGAGTTAAACACGCGTATTCCAGCCCCACCCTCCTGAGCTCACCAGGAAGCCTCGAGGCAAGTACACCCAGGCAGCCAGACACACTGAAACAAAACCAGGAATTATGGCATGGGAGCTAGATGTGCCTACCCAAAGGAGACATGAATTATGTCATGACAGAAAAAGCTGCAAGGGCCAGCTGGAGGCCATGCGCTATGCTATGGGTATGGAGTATGGGAAGTAGATAGATTAGGAACAGACAGACGGCAAATGGCCACTGTCAAACCCAGTCCTGATACACGCTCGGCACCACGCACGCGCACAGCCTCTAACCTTGCCACAACTTATAGCAGATGCTGCTCTTTCTTGAAGAACAGACAAATTGGAGTTGCTTGCCATGTGAGCCCGAAAGTCACCAGGTAACCCTGTAAGAGGCTGAGGTGGGATCTGCATGTCTAACTGATTTCAAAGCAAACTCCACAACTATGCAGAAAAGGAAGAGGCGCCAGGACAGGCCAGAGAACGGGGTAGAGGAGCCTGTCCTGCCTGCAGGTGCCAAGGGCTCCCTCCTGGTCACACCGCTGTCTCCTTTGCCACTTTTCTCAGTGGCTGCCAGAGTGTGTGTGTGTGTGTGTGTGTGTGCACGTGTATGATCAATGCACACGTGTGCAGATTCCAGGGAAATGGGGGCGGGGTGTTCTATCACTCGCCTTATTTATTGTCACATGATGATCTCACAGAACTCGGAGCAAGGTTAGAGGCTCGTGGCTAGCAAGCCCAGTGACCTCCCAGCTCTTCTCTGGGATTACATGGGGTGAAGCCACACCCAGCTTTTCGATGTGGACGCTGACTCAGCACCCTTCATGCTTATTCAGCACACACACTCTTACACAAAGAGCCATCCATCCCCCCCACACACACGCACTTTGTTTTACTGTGTAATTCAAAAGGCATTCTGAATGTGTAAAGGAAACTGTTTATGTTTGAAAATCTTCCTTTTACTCACCTAATTCAATTTAGTAATTAAATCTGTAAAACCTCCTGTACTTAAAGATGTCTGACCTTCTTATCACCAACAGTGGGAAAGGACACAGTGCAGTGTTTGAAAATCTAAAGACAAACTCACAAGTTCCTTGCTTTTGCTTTTCCTTTTCTTTTTCCCCATCTACTTAGAGCTATGGAAGATGGCATAAATTGTCAACTCGGACCCAGAGTATTAACACACAGCTGTTTTAGGGATGCGTGAGTTTATCTAACAGGTAAACTGGAACATTTGGGAAAAAACAAATCACTCTTGTAAGTTAAGGACAGGGCAGAGCACTCGGAAGATGAATGCCAACAGCCAATTGCACTCAGACTGCCAGTGTGACCCACTTCACGGAATCCGTTTGCCGGCAGAGATGAGAGGGAGGTGTGCCTGTGAAAGTGTGTCTCCTGTGCAAGAGATCAAAGCACTTTCTGAGGTGACAGACTCCACGTGCCTGAAACAACTCAGAAGATACAGACAGTACTCGAAGGCACTGAACAGCATGCTGTGAATGTGCAAACAGAAAGACCAGTGTGCAGCCAAGACGGCCCACCTTCCCCCCCACCCCACCCCCACCCCTCCCCCCAAATGTAAATTCCAGCCACCTGGGCTGCACAGTAAGGCCTCTGTCACCCATGACAAACTCTTTTTAAAACTCCTTTTAAATGAGATACAACCAACTTGATTTCTCCTAGAACTACTTTCAAAAGAAAGCAAGATGATTAAAAATAAACTGAGAGTAATAAATTGAAAAACTGAAGGAAAGAAAACCACCAGCATTCTATAACAGACACACCCTCTGCAGGGGGCCATCAGCCAGGCCCCAGCTACAAAAGCGTCACCCTGCCCACTCCATGCGCTGAGCTCAAAACCACATTTCCCAACAGGAATGCTCTCTAACAACCTTCAGCAAACAGCAACTAGTGTTAGGAAGGCTAGAGCTTGGGTTTTGTTACAAACTGCTCATTGTCACAGCTGACAGATCTGAAGCTGGGAATTATCTGTACAGTTCCCTACACCTCACACGCTTCATGTTCAGCACGTTAACTCTCAAAAGAAAAGCAGTGTTCGCAAAATCTCCAGTCAAACCCAGCATTTGAGATGGAGGGGCTGGAGAGGGAAACTGGAGCAGCCTCAGATCAAGCCGGGCTGGTTCCTTCTGGGGTCACCTTCCATGTGCCCTGTGGGGCTTCAGGGACAACCGCAGAGGCACACAGAGCAGCCAGCTGTAGTGGGCGCGCAGAGCAGCCAGCTAGCCCCAGAGACAGGGAGAGAGAAGCTAAAAACCCTGCCCAGGACAGACCAACAAAGGACGCATTTCCACCAGGCTAAGGCTCTAGAAGATCTACTTCTTAAGTGGTTCATTTAGGAGGGACCTGGCCCCTCACCATCCGCTTCCAAAACCACAGAGATGGAAGAGTGGAGGAAGAAAGTGAGTGGCGAGGTCTAAGGTCAAGAGAGCACTATTAAACAAAAAGCCCCATAATGGCCACAGTTAGTGTGACCGTTTCTAAAGGAAAGAACAGAACACACAGGCCAGATTTTTTAAAAATGGCATGGAAACAGTTCTCAAAGAAGCACAGACAGACGAGATACACATACTCATCAGGAAAACATAAATCCTAACTATAGTGGGATTCCATCTCACCACAGTCAGAGTGAATGTCACCAAGTTAAAAAAAAAAAGACCAATAAAAACAAAGCAAGAAAGAAAGGTAAGGCTGAGAGAGCCTGGTGACTGGGGGCAGTTCACACAGTGCCGGTGTGGGAGGGCCTGGTGTGAGAGCCTGGTGTGAGAGCCTGGTGTGGGAGCCTGGTGTGTGGAAGCCTGGTGTGGGAGGGCCTGGTGTGAGAGCCTGGTGTGTGAGGGCCTGGTGTGTGAGAGCCTGGTGTGAGAGCCTGGTGTGGGAGAGCCTGGTGTGAGAGCCTGGTGTGTGGGAGCCTGGTGTGAGGGCCTGGTGTGTGAGGGCCTGGTGTGAGAGCCTGGTGTGGGAGAGCCTGGTGTGTGAGAGCCTGGTGTGAGGGCCTGGTGTGGGAGGGCCTGGTGTGAGGGCCTGGTGTATGAGCCTGGTGTGAGAGCCTGGTGTGGGAGCCTGGTGTGAGAGCCTGGTGTGTGAGCCTGGTGTGGGAGGGTGTGAGAGCCTGGTGTGTGAGAGCCTGGTGTGGGAGCCTGGTGTGTGAGAGCCTGGGTGTGAGGGCCTGGTGTGAGGGAGCCTGGTGGGAGCCTGGTGTGAGAGCCTGGTGTGTGAGAGCCTGGTGTGGGAGCCTGGTGTGTGAGGGCCTGGTGTGGGAGCCTGGTGTGTGAGAGCCTGGTGTGTGGAGCCTGG